AGTGAAAACAAATTAGAAATGAGCGAGTAACTCTGTCCAGATCAACTCAGGAGAGAAGGCATAGTGTAGTTTCAGAGGATAAGACTTAAAACCGTGAAATAACTCTCCTCTCTTCAAACGCTGGCAAAGCTTCTAATCTCCCCTGCTGGGGTAATTAAGCTTTTGGCATTCAAGAACGTTTTGACTTCTATGTTTTAAGAAGGAAAAAGTGCTCAGCAAACCCTTCCCATGCAGGAAGGAAAACCAGCAGCTTGCCCAGTTTGTAAAACAGGAGCAGTGCGTTCCTGCCCAGCTGCCCTGCAAGCGGCGTTGGAGCGTTCGTGCCTCTGCTTTGCCTGCTGCAGAAAGGTCCTGCGTAGGTTGATGAACAGATTCTCAGCTGGTTTAAACAGGTGCCAGTGAAATGACCAGTTTACCCCAGTTCTTATTCATTCATAGTGCTAAATGAATGTTGATGTTTTATTGCTGCTGGGGAGTTCTGATGCTCTTTGATCAATACATTCATGAGTCAAACATCCGTCTTGTGACTAAATCTTTCATATCAAATAGACCTTTTTAGTTGTAAAGCTTTGCTCTAAACCAAACCTGATCTTACCAGGGCCCCTGAAGCTACTTTTGGCATGGTCAGGAAACCAAAATACTCTTCCCACCTCTGAAGATGGGTCAGACTTTCTCTCCAGAGCACTTTGCAGTTATTCCTGGACTTCCTCACCCTTTCAGGCTCCATCTGGAGATCCTTGGGCCTCTTCTCATGCTTTCAGGATATTTGTGTTAGCTTCCAGCACTTTTAGGAGGAATGCTAGCGAGAAGCAGCAAATGCTTCACCTCTGCTGACAGTGTTTCGTATCTGATCTCGCCTTTGTTCACTGCTTGCTATTTTATCTCTCCTGCTTTGTGTAGTTTCGCACTATTGTGTTTGTTCTTTGACAGGCGGCGTATGACAAGGTGAGGAAGGCTAAGAAGCAAGCTGCAGAAAGGACACAAAAACTTGATGAGAAGCGAAAGAAAGTAAAGCTTGGTAATGAAATCAAAACTTCATTTTCTCTTGGCTTGAAGTCTGCATTAGCCGGGTGTTTGCGTCTCTTCTCCTGCCAGAATTCGCCGTTGATTGATCTGCTGTCCGTTTGCGATGGCTGCGGCTTCTCTGTGCCCGGCACAGTACAGCAGCCGTCTGAAACCTCCTCCCGCAGTCATAGCTGGGGCTGGTCCTGCCCTGGGGAGGGGTTGGGGGTTGTGATGGCCGTTAATGCTCCTGATTGATAGATTGGTGTGCCCGGGCAGAGGAGAGGCAGCAGAGCTATCGGGGCTCTCCTTTGAAACTGGTGTAGGTGTAGCCAAGTTTGTGATCTTTCCATCCACCTCTGGTCAGCAGCATCAGTGGGGAAAACTCTCTTTGGATTGTTTTAATTCTGTTTCTTTCTCTGCAGATCTCGAAGCCAGAGAACGAGAAGCCCAGACCCATGAGAGTGAAGAGGAGGAGATCAGGATAACAAGAACGTTGGAACAAGAGGTGATGAGAAATTCATAGATTTCTCTGCTGCTTTTGAGAAGACTTGCAGAAAGTCTTTGCAGTCATCGTGAAAGCCACGTGCTGAGATGCAGCTGATGTGCGTATAGCAGTCCTTCAGCCCCCTGGGTTAGCGGGCTCGATGAGAGCGAGGCACGTGGAAGGGATCTTGTAGCGGTCTGGCCATTGTGTCGATCTGGGGTTTTATTTTTTTTTGTCTGCCCTTTTCCTTTTGCATAGCAGACAGTAGCAACAGCTCGTTGGTTATGTGCTCGCTGGTAGGGCCTGTGTCCCTCGGAACACGAGGGGTCCAGTTCCATCAGTGCTGGGAACTGTCGGGAGGGTTCCCCCGGGAGGTGGGTGTAAGGCGAAAGCTGCTCTTGGCAGTCTTTGGCTGGTGTGAACCAACGGCCGAGCCGTGCCCTCGTGTCCGCGCTGTCTTGCCTCGGCTCTAGATAATCCGCCTGCGTGAGGAAGGCTCCCGCCAGCTCGAGGAGCAGCAGAGACTCATTCGAGAACAGATCCGGCTTGAAAGAGAGCAGCACATCCCAGGTGAGACAGAGGGGGCCGGAGCCCTCGCCAGGCTGTGTGCGTGTGGGACCGCGGCTCTTCTGCGGGCAGAGCTGACGGACGGCTGCAGCCTTCGGGCTGGGCCCCGCTGCCGTCTGTAGGATCCTGCTTGGCGCCTTTTTCAGGGATAAGCCCAAAGCCTTGTGTTTCTGCGGGGTTGCTGCCTGGCTTGGCGCCTTTTTCAGGGATAAGTCCAAAGCCTCGTGTTTCTGCGGGGTTGCTGCCTGGCTTGCGGGGTTGCTACTCCTTTTCGAGCCCTAGGCACTGACTCTGGAGGGTCTGGTGTGGAGCCCCACGGTTGTGCTGGAGGGAGCCCAAAGCCCTGCTCGTCTGTCACAAGTGAAGCAGTCAGTGTTGCAGACTCGAAATAGGCAACGGTTCAGTTTTGCCAAAAATGATGGGTGTCATTGGGTTACTGCTCCTGCGTCCCCTTGGCAGCTCTCAGTACTTACCACCCAAGAGACTCCCTGTGGAGAACAAAGCTTTGTCAGCCCGTGGTTGCTGAGGCTTTACTTCTGGGACGTGACTCTCTCTTGTTCCTGGGGCGTACCTGCGTCCAGGCTTGTGCAAAGACCGGCAGCGAATCTGCCGGGAGCTGAGCCCGCGCTGCGCTGAGAACATCTGCAGCCTGCGCTGCCGCGCCAGAATAGGTGCTTGTGTTGGAAGGCGCCCCCCTCTAGTCCTCGTGGGCTGTGCAGTAGCTGTCACCTCCTCCCTACAGGAGGGGATGAGATTTTCCCGGAATCCCAGAACCTCATCCTCTGGTATTCCTGAACCTCACTCCCATCCACGCATTTCTATAGTGAGTTGCCTTTTTTAACGTTCTCTGTCTGTGTGGGCTTAAACCACAGTTTCATGTTTCAGAAAGTTCTGTTCTTCTTTTCAAACCTAATCAGAGTGCTGCTCAGGCTTCACTTCGAGGGGAAGATGTAGTGTCTCGTGCTTCCTACCCCTTTCATTCCGGCAGAGGCTGTAGTACAGTGCCTGTTGCTTTCTCACAGGAAAAATACTGAGCTAATGAATGAATTAAAAAAAAAAATAACGCCAGAGGTCCAGATGCAGAAACTCTTTTTGGGGTCACCAGGGTTTTCCTGTTTTCTTAACTTAGCTTCACTTACCAGGAATTGGGGAGGATGTTGAGCATTTGCAAAGTATAAAACACTTTGAGATCCTTGCAGCACGAGCACATCATTATCAGGTATTTAGGTGCAGGGCCAGATGAAATTCTTGGGCTATGCTGTCTTTTTTATTTTTTTTTTATTGTCTACCCTCAATTTATCCAGTTACTCCCACCAGAACAACCCGATTGCAGGGAAAAACGTGGCAGAATCTAACAGGTCTCCTGCCTGTATTTTTACTTTGCTGTTTCTAGCCTTGATCATGGCAAGTCTGAGCATCAGAGAAGGGAAGAATACTGACATCCAGTATTGGGTCTGTTCTACGGTTCCTGATGAGAGTGTTGCACAAGACTTCTGGGGCTGAAACGGTCTAGTGGAAATCCAGAAGCATGTGCTATCGCCTCTCTTGGGGTGAATTTTGTGCTAAATGTTCTTCAGCCGAGGAGTTTTGACCCATGTCCTTTCCATCTTTTATTTTTTTTCCCCCTCCCCTTTTTTGTTTACTTTCCCCTCTTTAGGCAAGCAAGAAAGGAATGGAGCAGAAGGCAAAATAACTCCTAAACTCAAGGTAAGACATCCTTGCAAAGCTGGGCTTTGGTGAAAACCGATAGAACATTATTCAGCTTTGGAAAACAGAAGGGACACTTCAACACTGCGGGACTGGCGTGTCCCTTAGTACTGCGGAGGAGAAGTTCCTCTGTCTGATGTGCATCACGCATGCGAACGGCTCCTGCCACTGCCTTTAAAATACCCTTCCCCCCTCCCCCTTTACTGGCTGGTCTAGATCTTTGAGCCTGACACTGAGTTGTCTCTGCTTTAAGCATGGGGAAACATCTGCTTATTCCCCTGATCTAGCCATTCGTATGCTTTCAAATACGATCTTTTTTTATTCCAGTGAGCAGTGTTTCTCCCTGCTCCCCAAATAATTTGTTCCCTTTGCACGTTCTGATGTTGAAATCACTGTCTTGGCAGTTCTGGGAGCGTAGCTGCGAAGAGCGAACTTGATGGCTGTGCGGGTGGCAGGAGCTGCGTTGAGTGCGGCCGCACCTGCTCAGATGGACAAAACTGACTTGTGCTTGTTTCCCAGCTGAAATGGAAATGCAGGAAAGAAGATGAGACGAGAGGGGGATACTCAAAAGACGTTCTGTTGCGGATCCTCCAAAAGGTCCTGTCTGATCCCGTCCCACTGCTTGGTCTGCCCCTGCCCTCAGCGGTGTAAGAAAGAACAGTAAATGCCGGGAAGCGACACGTAAACCGGAGCAGCTCGGGTTTTCTCCTCTGTGGGCTGGCTTTCTCACTGTGCTGTGTTCAGAGGCCATCAGCCTGACCCATTAGCTGTGACCTCTTCCCCAGCCAGCACCTCTGTCTCGCTCCTAGCAGGGACTCCCACTGGAACAAGCAGCTGCAGGCCCTTCCCACCGAGTGGGTCGTGCCCCGTGTCGAGGCTCGTCTGGCCGTGTGGTTATGGGGCCTTTGCCTTCCCTCGCAGCGCTCTGCGTTCGCTGCTGAGGGAAGGTCAGAGGCGGGAACAGACAAGCCTTTGAGCTGATTAATCCTGGCCTGTGAGCTCTGTTTTCCCTCCACACAAGTATCTCCTGTACCTCGGAGCCGAGCAGCTCTCTCGCGCGGGGGCTTGCTGGAAGCAAAGTGTGTGGCTCCATGCCTCCCCAGAAGTGTTTCCTGGAGGGACAGAAATTATGACAGGTTGGGATCAGTGGAAGCATCGGGCAAGGCAGAAAGGGTGATGGCTCAAGCCTGCTGTCTGTGAAAACACATGTTTTCTCTTTGCATAAATGAACTCGACATCTCCTCTGGGTCTGTAATTACCTTCCCTTTCCCTCTTAACAGTACGGCGACGTGCTCAATTTGCTGATCTCCAGCAGGAAGACGGGGAGTGCAGTCGTGGAATTTGCTACGGTTAAGGCTGCTGTAAGTGTGGCGGAGACCCCAGCTGCGTGTGGTGGAGAGAGGGCAAGAAGGGGCGCTGCGGAAGGGAAGGGTTGGCAAAGGGACGGCCCGGGGACGCTGCCTTGTCATTAAGGATAATGAGAGTCTGAAGGTACAGATGGGTGAAGGGAGTGGCAAAGCTGAGGCGTAAACCCCGAGCAGATCGTGCCCATAAACAAGCGGCTGTGCACGTCAAAGGCTGAGGGAAGAGACACTGCGTTGAAAAGCAGGCGCTGGGCTGTTTGACCAGCTCTCACGGGAGGTGGATTACCTTCGTTGTGGAGACGGGCTGAAGGGGTTTGAGGTTACATCAGGTATTTGCAGTTTAAGAGAAATCAAAATGTCTTGACTCACTATGAATTATAATTCATGTGGTTGTGGAAACAGAAACCATCGGTTACCCTTAATTATAGTAGTTCCATCAACTTAAACTTACCCTGTACGTGAGTCTCTATTCCTTGTCATCTGTTCTTTCACTCATTTATCCAAATAATCAAAAAACCCCCAGAATTGTCTGTGACCTGTTTATCGAAAGTACTGGCAGTGGTGTGTTCTATCTGTGCTTAGTGCAGATAGGGACCTCAAAGGGCGCTCCTCTGGTGGGGCGGCTGTGAAATCGTCGTTGTTTGTGCCCTACTTGGCCGTGACTGAGTTGGAAAAACTTGTATGATTGTCAGTGACCTGTGAGGGAGGGGGATCTGAATTTCAGGTGGTGATGGAAGAATGCTCCTCTTGGTAGGAAATGGCTGTGAAGAATGAAGTTGGCCTGATAGATAATCCTCTGAAGATTTCCTGGCTGGAGGGCCAGCCCCGGCACAGTCCCAGCACTGTCCTTTCTGACAGCGCTACTCAGCCTAGGACCTCCCAGGTAAGGAGACACAGGCTGCAGTCGCTTAAATCTGCCTCTGTAGCAGTTTAACAGTGTGCTTTGCGCTTGGGGCACGATCCGTTGATTCCCAGCAGAGCTGAGCAGCAGCTCTTTACGAAAGGGCTGCCTTTCTGAGGAGCCTTTTTGTGCTGAGGCAGGGGCTTTTTTAAAGGCCCTCGGCCTGAGTAGCAGCACGCTGGGAACACAGGCTGGATCTTTGCGCAACCTCACTCTCTCTTCCAAATGAAAACCGAGGATGTTCCTTGCTCAGCCCAAAGCCTCTAATGCCATTCTTGTGGAATTTTTTCTAATGTACATTGACTGGGAATCCTCTGGCTGATCACTGGTTGAAATGGGTCTCCTACAAGGTTTCTTTAGAGAGGCTTAGTTACTGTGTTCACAAGAGGATGAAATTTCAGTGCTGAAAGGAAACCTCTATTCTTAGGGTCTGCAGGAGGGAGGAGAAAGCAGTATCAAACTAAATATCCTTGTAGAGCCCTTACTGCCTGTTCAGGGTCCTCTTCACAAGTGTGGTTACTTTGAGTGCAGGGTGTGTGTTAACTCTTAGCTGCTTGCTGTTCACTTCACCAGATAACCCCTCTGAAGCTGTCGTTCTCGAATAACAAATGTATTCCAATCCTAAAACACGTGGAAGGCAATAACATCTAGTGTTTAACACACAGACACCTATCTGAGGATGTGCTGCAGCGGGTTGTTGCCTCTCTGATACCCCTTGCCCCTGTTGGCCCTCTGGAGTGGGAGGTGGATCTCCTTCTTCCGACCCGTGTTACGTTACACTTTGCTCTGTGGCGCAGAATTCATCTTGTGCTCTGCGTGTGTTCTGGTGGAGGTAGTAATTCCTGGGCTGTGAAGGGACCTGAGATCCTCTGCTGGTTATTTGAGCTCCAGTTCAAACTTCATGTGGCACTTGTTCCCCTCTCCTCCTTCCCTGTGGCATAGAGATCAAACAGATCTAATTGCTGAGAGGATCTGCCTCATGCTGTGCAGGTGCCCTCAGTCTGTGTGTCTGCGTCTTGAGCAGCCTTGTGTGTGTGTTGCTGCCTGAGTATTTTAGCAGCTCGTGAGATTGTTCAGTACATTCAGTCTCCTGGCTTTTTGTTAAGTACTTTTTTTTATAGCAGCTGCATTTATAGATCAGAATGCCTCGTTGTTACCCTAGTTTTGTTTCTGGTTGTGTGTTTTCACTTGGGAGGCATGTTCTTTGTCTGAACAGCCCGGCCTGAGCAGCAAAGCATCCCAGAAATCTCAGGCAAAGACAGTTACAGCATCATAGCCCAGCAGCCAGGCAGATCTCTGTGCACCATGTAGAACCAGTGAGTCTTGCAGACTTGGCGGATTCACAGAGGTGGCCAGAGTG